GGGGAAGGGTCAGAGGAGGTGGCTGTCGAGGGTGGCATCCGAGCTCAGACCTGAAGGAGGTGAGGGAGTCGTGGACATCCATGGTGGATGAGGGCTCCAGGGACCTGCAAAGACCTTGAGGTGGAAAGACGCAGGGCTTCTTGAAGAACAGCAGGAAGCCAGCCAGGGCTGGAAGGGAGTAAGCGAGGGAGAGAAGCAGCGAGGTCATCAGACAGGTGGAGGGTTTGCTGGGGGCCAGGGTCACACCCGGCCTCACAGGCCACAGGGAGCTTTCGCTCAGAGAGCTGGGATCCCTGGGAGGGTCTGTGCGGGAAGGTATGGGTCCCATCTGACAGGTCCCTCTGGTCATGTGTGGAGAACGGACTGTGAGGGGCTGAGGGAGAAAAGGAAGGCAGGAGGAGGTGACTGCACCAGTCCAGGCAGTGGTGCTGGTGGCCGTGGCCGAAGCGGGGGCCATGGAGGTGGGGAGACGAGGGCAGACTCTGGGTCCACCTTGAAGGTGGAGTCGACAGGATGTGATGAGCGATCAGATGTGGGAGCGAGTGAGGAGAAGGCAGGGGAGACTCCCAGGTTTGAGGGGCCACCTGTAGGATGGAGGAGCCATCAGCGGAGGCAGGACTGGTTTCAGGGGGTAGATCAGGAATGGAGTCCTGGCCGACCCGGGTTTGAGGCTCCTCCTGGTCATCCCAGCAGTGACAGAGACAGGTGGGTGGAGACCTGAGTCTGGGCTCAGGGGAGGCCTTGGGGAGACGCCCTTGGAAGTCACCAGCGTTTAGATGGGGATGAGAACGGTATCTTTGGTGTCTATGTCCCCCTTCTTCCTTCTCACGCTAGCAGCAGGCCCGACTTGGGGAGGAGCTCCAGGGTGTCCTAGGGACCCAGCAACAAGTCCATGAGCGTGTGTGACAAATGCCCACCGTGGTTCAGGGCCATGCCAAGTGCTCTGCCCACTTGATGCCTTTCATTTTCATGACACCCTGAAGGGGTGGGGACCGCTCCAGTCCCGTTTTACAGAGCCAAGAGGTGAGATGACTTACCCAAGTGTCACCCAGCAGTATGGGAAGGCTGCTCTAAAGGAGGGATGGGGCGGCACGCAAGGCCATCAGGGAAGGCACTGCAGTGCTCAGCAGCTCCTGATCACCACGCCCGTCCCCTGGCTGGGGGACACCCCAGGTTCATGAGTCTCCCACATCACCTCCTCCAGGCAGCAGGCAGGATTACCTCTTGGTGATTCTGGGGCCTCCAGAAAAGTGCTGAGGGCAAACTGGGAGCTTCCCAAGGCCAGCAGAGGGGAGGCTGGGTAGGAGCTTGGGGGGAACCTGGGTGTTTTGAGGGCCAGGCAACATCTCAAGCCAGGTACCTGCAGGCCTCCGGCATGAGGGAGGAAGGGACAAAGACTCCAGGGCAGGCTTGGGGGGCAGTGAGATCCCCTCCCCCACTTCTGTGGAGCTCTAGAAAGCATCTCCATGCCCAGGGTGTTCTCCCACCGATGGCTCGAGGCCATCTTTCACCCCAGTGGTGGTGTGCGGCCAGCCGTGGGGTCTCCTGCAATTACCTGGAGGAAGCCTTCAAGCAAGCTGAAGCTCACAGCGAGGGCGTGACGCACATCACTTGTTCAGCAACTGTTCATGAAGCTCCTACTAGTGGCAGACCTCTCATCCAAGGTCACCAGAAGGAAGAGGCTTTGGCAAGGTCCAAATTGACCTGAAAATAGGACTCTTTCCGTTGACCTGACCTTCAAACAGCATTCTTTCCTCTGCGGGGTTCAAATTATCCACTTATGATCCATGCAGGATAGGGAAAGGGAACAGGAGTTGGCAGCTTCCCATGGGCCAGAAGAGGAGGAATAAGACCCAGATATTATGTATGGAGACCCAACCTTGTGACAGACGCTGCACTGGGACCAGTTCCTAATCCGTAAAATTGAGCTTACGACACGTCCTTCCTCCAGGGTTGTAATGGGTTAATCCAGGGATTAGCAAACTTTACTGTAAATGTCCAGAGGGTTCATATGTTCAGCTTTCTGGGTGTTATGGTCTCTCTCACAACTACTCAACATTGCAGTTGTCGAGTAAAGGCAGCTGTGGACAATACGTAAATGAATGGGCATGCTGTGTGCCAATAAAACTTTATTTATAAAAACAGGCCGTGAACTGGATTTGGCCTGGAGGCTGTCGTTTGCTGAACCCTGAGTTAATGTATACAAAACAAAGCACCTGGTGCATAGCAGGTGCTTAATAACGTTTGAGGAATGAGTGAGTGAAATGATTGGGCCTCTTTAACTCTCGCTTTCTCCATCTGCTAGAAGAAATCATTATACTGAGTTATTTATTGAGTGTTTTCCAGGCCACACAGGGCTTCAGGAAGCCCAGCACAGCCCTCACATCGTTCCTCCTCATAAAACGCTAAGATCGGGCTCTCAATGGTCCCATTTTACAGGAACAAAGGCTAAGGGCCCAAGGCCACGAGGCTGGAATGTGGCAAAGCTGGGATTGGAACCCAGGTCTCCAGGACCAGGCCTTGGGTTCTCTGAACTGCCTGACGTTCCAAGGCTATCCCTGGAGTGTAGAGCCAAGACTGGCATGCTGCCCTGGCTGCAGGGTCTGGCTTCAGAGTCCCAGCTCAACCCCAGATGTCAATCTCCTCGTTGGCCCCAACTCCAGACCCCAAGCCAGGGGTCTGTGCCTGCATCCCCTCCTGTGCAGTGGGTCAGATACACAAGGAAGAGAGAAAGAGAGACGAAGACAGGGACCGAGAAATACAAGGAGACTGAAAGAGGCAGAAACAGAAAGACACAGAAAGAGATGGAACTCAAGAGGGACTAACTCATCTCCCATGCCTCCCTCCCTCCTGGGGGCCTTGGAACCTTCTTGCCAGCACCCCTGACCCATTCCCACCATCACCATTGACTCCCTCCAGGAAAAGATTGATCCACTGCCCCCCACCCCACATGATCCTGGGCTGGAATTCCAGCCCAGGTGCCGACCTCTGTGTGACATCAGACAGGCGACTCTCCCTCTCTGGGCTCAGTCTCTCCATCTGTGAAATGAGAATGCCAACCAGGGCAGTTTTACTGGCTGCTTGATGAGAGGAGGCCTGGGCCTGACACCAACAAGCACCCAAGAGCCCTGGGCTTGGGGAGGGAGGTGAGCTCAGGGCTCCTCTCCCCAGACAGATCACTGTTCATTTATTGGTTCTTTTAACAAACATTTATTGAGCACTGACTGTGTGCCAGGCATTGCACTAGGTGCATAAGGTAGACAAAAGTTCCTGTCCTGATGGAGCCAATGTTCTACTGGGGAGATAGGCAAGAAACCAACAAGCAAATTCATACGAAATGTGCCAGGTGGAGAGAAGGCAACCAGTGAGGTAGTGGGGGTCGATAAATCCAGGCAAGTTGAGGGGAGGAAGTAAGGGTGTAGGGTGTAGGGTGGCCAGTGCAGGGAAGCTCTTTCAAATTCTTGTTGTTTCTCCAGAGGCCATGACAGTTTTTATATTTAAACCAGCTGCTGATGGTGGGGGAATTCATTATTGAGGATTTCTGAGTTTCCAGCTCCGTGCAGGGCACTCTCATCAATTTCATCACATTGAATCTCCTCAGCAACCCCAGAAGACAGGTACTTGTTTTCATTTTTATTTATTATTAGTATTGTTATTTTTAGAGATGGGGCCTCATTCTATCACCCAGGCTAATGTGCAGGGGCGTAATCATAGCTCACTGCAGCCTCAAACTCCTGGGCTCAAGCAATCCTCCCGCCTCAGCCTCCAGAATAGCTGGGACTACAGGCGCACACCACCATGCCCAGCTAACTTTTTAAAATTTTGTAGAGACAGGGGTCTCACTATGTTGCCCAGGCTGATCTCAAACTCTTGGTCTCAAGCAATTCTCTCGCCTCGGCTTCCCAAAGCGCTGGGATGACAGGCGTGAGTCACCACACACGGCCAGAGACAGGTACTCTTATTGTCCCCATTTCCCAGATGAAGAAACTGAGACCCAGAGAGATGAAGTGACTTGCCCAAGGTCACATTGCTGGAAAGGGGCAGAGCCAGGATTCAAATGGGGCCAAACAGGGATATGATCCAAGGTGAGATGGGCTGATACCATGCCTGGAAGACACCAGCGCAGGGGCTTGAAGGGGAGACAATCAAGCAGGGAACAGGGCTTATGCCAGAGCCCTCAGCAGCCAACAGGTTAAGGGCCCGGGAATCTGGGTCCCTGGCCCCAGATAGGGTGACAGCCACACCCAGGCTCAGCCTCTGGCCCGTGCCGCCTGCTGGGAACACACAGTCCTCAGGACTAAGAGGCTCAAAATAGAAAGCGCAGGACCTGGGCTGAAGCCTGGAATGCCCCAGGCAGGCAGACCATGACTCCTGGAAGGGCCCAAAGCCGCAGGGCTGGGGCTGGCGGGGCAAGAGTCGCTGGTATCCGCTTGTTAGAGCCTGCGTCTCATCTTTGTTATTCTCCTGATGCAGTTTCCAAGACACCAGCTCCAGGATGTGACCAACCCGGGCTCCTCTCCTGGCCTAATCTCAAACCAGCTGTGTGGCCTTGGGCTGGTCACCTACCCCAGAGGACCTCAGTGTCCTTATCTGCCATCGGCTCATAGAGTTGTTCATTCAGGCAGTCAGCCGATGTGTGTCGAGCACTTACCATCTGCCAGACACTGTGATGGCACTGGGGCACACAGAGAACACAGCAGACAAAAATCCCTGCCCTCATATGCCAGGTAGAAAGACCCTACCGTGCTCAGAAGGAAGTGGGGGGCGGTCAGGAAAGGCTTCCCAGGTGGGCACCCGAAGGAATTGCGGGAGGGAGCCCTGTGGAAGCCTGGGAGAAGTGTTCCAGGTAGAGGGAACAGCCAGTGCAAAGGGCCCGCGGCAGTGTGGGCCTCAGGCTGTTTCAGGAGCAAAGAGGAAGCCAGCGTGGCTGGAGGGTAAGTGAGGAGGAAGGCTGGGAGAGGAGACAGAGGGAGGTCAGAGAGGAGGCCCCGAGAGCCAAGGAAGGAATCCGAGGGTTTATTCTCCAAGCAACGGGATCCCTTAGAGAGGACTTTGCCGGGGACTGATGTGGGCTGGCCCGCAGTTTTCATAGCTCCCTCTCGCTGAATATGGAGAGGGGATTTCTGGAGGACCAGGGACGAGACTTCTGTGCCAGCAGAGATGAGCAGCAATGGTGGCAGTGGAGGCAGAAGGAAGGGCTTGGGTCGGAGGTCTGTTTGCAGGAGGTGCTGTGAGGACCTGCCGAGGGAGAGAAGGGAAGAGGGCACGGGTGAGGGTTGAACAGAGGCCCCCTCCACCCTCCAGGCCTCAAGGAGCCCCACAGGAAGTGGGTGGTCAGGTGGCCCAGCTGGGAAGGCTGACTGGTTTGTCCAGCCTGAAGCCCACGACCCTCTCCCCACCCTTTGCCCGTGGCAGCCCAGGGCTAGAAATGTACCTGGAATGTCAGCCACGAAGCCTGACCAGACAGTGCCCATGGGACCTGCCGGGGGCCAGGTGAGCACCCTGGCCACAGCCCTGACTACATGGGGAATCTCTCGGACCCACTGACCAGGGTAAGTGGTAATTACAGGCCCTGGAGCAGAGAGGGTGGTGACCTCCAGCCAAGACACGCAGGGACTGCGATTCGCACGCAGGACCCCTAACCAGGCACGCCCTCTTTGTTGTTGAACAGGCAACAAACTGCTCCAGAGACCAGGGTGTGTCAGCAGAAAGAGCACTGGGCTGTGAGTCTGAGACCCCCAGGGCCTCCTCCGAGCCTCAGCCCCTTCATCTGCCAAAGAAATATTTATCCATGCATGCATGCTCTGGTTCCCGAGTGTTCACTGGGCACTTGCCCTGGACAGGCGCTGTGCTGGGGGCTGGGTGTACAGCAGTGAACAAAACACACAAAAATCCCCACCTGGGCGATGGTGACATTCCACTGGAAAGAGACAGACAAGAAACAGGATCAACCAGCAGGTTAATTTCTAGGATACGTGCTAAGGCCTAGGAAGAAATAAAAACAGCATGAGGCCATAGGAATGAGGGGCTGGTCAGAGAAAGCGTCCCCAGGGGTGACTTTGGAGCAGAGGCCTGACCCTACACAAGGGTCCACCATGGGCAGAGTTGGCGAGAATGTCCTCTGTTCCAGAGGGAAGAGTGGGTGCAAAGTCCCTGAGGCAGCAGCAGGATAATTGGCGAGTTTATGGCACAGAGATGAGGCCACCGTGGCTGTGGATGAGCAGCGAAGAGAGAGGCAGTGAGGTCAGGCGGGGCTGGGGCGTAGATCCTGCGGGCCCTGTGGGCTTCTGGTCTGAGTGAGTTGGGAGCCGTGGAGGGCTCTGAGCAGAAAAGGGATAGGACCTAACTTGAGCTCTTACAGAATTCCTCTGGCTTAGGAAGTCGAGAGAGGAGGCAGGGAGACTAATGAGGAGACCACTGCAAACATCCATCCCAGCTGGACCACAGCAGGGCAGGGCAGGGTAGTGAGGTGGACTCTTGGACATGTGGATGAGTTTGTTGATGGGCTGCCCATGGGAACAAGAGAGAGAATCCCGGTTGGGGGCCTGGGCAGCCAGGTGGCTGGGATTGCCATCGCTCTAGCAGGGAAACCGCAGGTTTGTGGTGGGGGTAGACAGAGCTCCCTTTGAGCATGAGGCCCCACCCAGGGTAAAAGAAGGACACCCAGTTCCCCACACCCCGGCCTTGAGCACAGATCAGTGAAGGGATTCTGTGGACAGGTGGCCCTGGAAGCTGTGATCTGCGGGGACGAGGTGCCTGCTGTCTACCTGGTGAAAGTCCTACCGATGCAGCTCGTCCGGCCACCCAGTCTCACCCCCCAGGAAGCAAACTTGGCACCTGTTCTTTGCCCTACCCTGAACATCCGCTGGGCTCCCTGGGTTGGTCCCAATGTGCATTTGGAATCTCAGGGGTGATGGGTGGGGAAGGTGGAACAACGCTGTACCTCTTTCCCACTCACCCCCGTCCCCCATCAGTCAAACAGGGCTGAGGACTCGCGACTGGTTCTTCCTCTGCGCCCTTGTCCCCATACCACCCCAAAAGCTCTCACAGCGTGACTTGTGGGCTCTGCAGCCAGGAGCGTGCTCTGGTCCTGTCATCTCACACTGCCCCATCCCCCTCATAGTCACTTGGTTTTCTGCACGTAAGTTCCCTTTTCATAGACAGAGGAACTGAGGTTCCGAGAGGTGGGGCAGGCTCCCAAGTTCACACTCAGGTTAAGTGGCAGGGCTGGGATTCACACTCAGGTCCACCTGATTCCAAAGCTCTCAAGCCTTGAGCATATAGCAGCTGGCTGAGGTCGGCTCCCAGAAGCTAAGCCAAGACAAGGGTTTGGGTGCAAGCGGGATATTTGGGAGGTGATTCTAGAAACACTAGGAGGGAGTGAGGAAGCGACACAAGGAAGGTGGATGAGCAGGTCTCCTCATTGGGCAACAGGAGCCCAACCCCCAGGGACCTCTGGGAGAACTCACAGAAAGTACCTTCCCACTGTCCCCTGAGCCAGAAGCAAGGAAGCTGGGTGGGGGCACAACCAGACCCCACCTCTACTGGCAAGAGCCTCTCACTTATTTCCCACACTCTTGCCCAAGCCCTTGGGCAAGAGATTCCGAATAGCAGCTGCGAGGGCGACCTCCCAGGTGGGCACCAACAGCTTCTGAGCCCCCAACTTCCAGAACAGCACTCACCCCAGGGAACAGGATGATGTTCAGTGGGATGTGGCTGAGCTGCGTGGCGTTGGCAAGTAGCTTCATCTCTCAGAGTCTCAGTTTCCTACTCTGAAGAAAGGAATCATTAAAAAAAAAACAAAACTGTTTCACAAGGGTTGGTGGGGATTCGATGGGACATGAGGTAAAGGTCTGAGAATCACATGTGGCACATAGGAGGTGCTTTTTATGTATTTGTGGTTAAATGAGAGCATGCCTGGCACGTAGAAGCCACTCCACTATAATAGCTATTCTCATTATTATTCTCATTATTATTATTATAGTTTTGTTGTTGTTTAGGACCTCTCCATGACCGTCCAAGCCTAGGCCTGCTTTGTGGGGACAAGATGGTGGCTGGACAGCCTCCCCAGTTTCCTGGGTCCCACAGCCTCTTGCTTAAGGCTGCCTGAACTTTGGGGAAACAGAGGAGGAGGAGAAGGAGGAGGAAGGGGCGGAGGCCTAGGCCAGGCCTGCTAGCGGTAACCGCGGGCAGTGACCCCGCCTGAGAGGGCCCCATTCACCCATCCACCCATCGCCAGAGCCGCCTGCCCATTCCACACAGGGGACACTTCGTCTTGCACAACACAGGAAGGGGGAGGCCTGGGTGGCGGTGGGTGACGCCGGGACCCCGTGTCCACCCGGCTGCAGACAGGATGGGCAAGGGAGGCCCCGCCAGGCTTCCTGTGTGCCGAGTACACTGGGCAGAAAGGAGAAGTGGGGTCCAAGGTCACTGGGAGCTCTGGGCAGCACCTTCCCCTCCCCGGCCCAACTGTTCCGCTTGATCTCCCTGACTCAGGGGCCCAGGGTTCAAACCCCACCAGCTCAGCCATGTACCAGCTGCATGACTCTGGAACACGCAGCTCTCAAGGCCTCTGTGTCAGTCACTGCCAGGGTGTGGGGAAGCCCTTTGGGGGCTTGTCATCATCATCCCCATTTCACAGATAAGGAAACCAAGGCCATGGGATATTTTCCCTTTTTCTCCTTTTTTTTTTTTTTTTTTTTTTTTTGGAGAGATGGGGGATCTTGCCCTGTTGCCCAGGTTGGAGTCGAGTGACACAATCATAGCCCACTTCAGCCTCAATCTCCTGGGCCGAAGCAATTCTCCCACCTCAGCCTCTCAAGTAACTGGGACTAGAGGCGTGCACCACTACACTCAGGTAATTTTTTTTTTTTTTTTTTTTCTAGAGATGGGTTCTCACTATGTTGCCCAGGCTGGTCTGGAACTCCTGGCCTCAAGCGATCCTCCCACCTCGGCCCACCACCGTATGATATTTTCAAACAGCATTTGTTATACTTGAAGATTTAGAGGCACAACAGGGGAGCGCAGACCTGAGGACCTACTGGGTGCTTCAGACACACAGATGAGGCCAGCGTGGCCCCTATCCTCCATCCTGGGTCCACAGCAGGCATTACTAATCAATGATGAGTCTCCTTCCTAGCATCGTAGATGCAGCCTCAGAGCCCTGCTCAATACAGCTCTCCAGCCACAGTCTCCATCAGAGCACCCAAGGCCTGAGTCAGTGGGGAAGGTAGATCTGCCTGCTCCATCCAGCAACAAACTGGACCAGAGGAAAAATCTGCCCAGGAGCGAGGTTGCCCTCTGGCAAGCTACCTTGGGGTACTTCCCTCGAACTTGTCTCCCCCAACTGGCTGGGAGTCTCAGGCTCACTTCCTTGGAGGCAAACTTGATCTGGAAAAAGCAGCTCAGAGGAAGCATCTGCCGGCTCCCAGGCAGCCAGCAGGGCTGGAGTGGGGGGTGTGGTGCTGGAGCACCGGCAGAGTTAGGAGATCAGCAGGGCCCAGGCAGAGCTGGGGCAGGAGGTGCTGGGAAACAGCGACAGAGGAACTGGAGCTGGGTCCATCCCTGGAGAGGAAGGGTCCAGGGCAAGGCAGGGAACCAGCTGGGACCCGGAGAGGCCAGATCGCCAGCAGGTTGTGGGCCCCACCAGCAGTGCCAGGGAAAGTCCAGTGACCCAGAGTGCCCAGGGTGGGGGGGTGGGGATTGTGTAAAAGGAAAAATGAAACGGAATGCAGAGCCCTGGGCCTCCCGCCAGGCCTGGCCATCTCTCCCCACATTCGCTGGCATCACCCCCGTCCAAGTTGCCATCCTCGCTTGCCTGGACATCTGCGGCCATCTCCGGCCGGGTGTCCCTGCTTCACACAGCCAGAGGGATCTGAAATGGGATCCTGCCCGAGTCTCTCCCCTGCTTTGACCCTCCAGTGACTGCCCATCCCATTGGAGATGTGATCCAGAGCTCACCCCTGGCCCCGAGCCCTGGATGTATGGCCCCAGCCTGGTCTCCACCACCCTCTCCTGCTTCTCTCCCCAAAACTCATATCCCGCCAGCAACACTAGTTCCTTCCTGTCCCTTAAATCTATCAACCTCGTTCCCCACTCTGGGCCTATGCCCTTGCTGTGTTGCCTGTGACACTTTCCCCCATATTTTCTTTTGGTGGCTGCATGTCAGTGAGGTCTCAGTAAATGCCCTCCCTCCAGAACCCCCAACCCCGAGCTACCCCAGATTCCTCCCCTGTCACCCTCCGCTCCACGCCTCTGGCATGTGTTTGTAGTACATATCCATGTCTGGAAGTGTCTGCTTCTTTGTTTGTCTTTCTCACCAGAACATCAGCTCCACAAGGGTAAGGACAATGTCCACCCTGGTCACTGCTGTATCCCCAGTGCCTGGCAAAGTACTGGACACACAGTAGGTGTTCAGTAAATATTTGTTGAAAGAGACTGAGAGGAAGCTGCTTAAATCAGCTAGAAGATTCTCACGGAGACCTTCTGAGTTCCCACGTGCCACCCCTCCCTGGGGATGACAGGCCGCTCCCCACCATATGTCAGTCCCTGAGTGGTGCACGACAGGGTTGGAGAGAATTCTGGTTTCAGTAGGAAAGATGATCAATTAGTAATGTCTGCCACAAACCAGGAAATGTAGGGCAGCTCCGAAGAGATGTGGGCTCCAAAGGTGATGGGGGCATTTTTGTCTTGTTTGTTCATTGCTCCATAGTACCAGGACAATGCCTGAAATATAATAGGTGCTCAATAAATATTTGTGGAATGTCATATACACGGGTTCCTTATCTAATTGGCTACTCCTTTCAAGGAGAAAAACACCTTTAGCTTATTCAACCAACAACTGCTGGCTAGCCATTCAGTGAGGACCCACTGTGTGC